TGCGTGATGATTTATTTTCTGGCAAGTTAGCATTCAGCATTGTGTTGCTTGATTCGTTGCTAATTACATGTGATATATTAGGGATGATAGACTACTCATATTAATAAGGAATTTCTTCTTTTTCGGGAGCCCATTCAAACAGAACTTCAAAGTTAAGCGTGCTCAGTTTGGAGTACCGATCGGGAAGTTGCACCCGGCCCCCGGTTGCTCCCAGCCTGGCTCTGAAAAACAACCTCATATGCGACATCTGCAAGTTGTTTGGTTGCCTTCATATGGACTTCCTACATTAGGGGATCAACTTTGGCACGTTGTTTTGTTGTCTGCATTGTCTCGGCGCATACAACTACATGCTGTTTGGTTGCCCGCATGGGGTATGATTAAGAGCTAGCACTTGCCACACAGGGTTAAGAGCTAGCAGAGGAAGGGGAAGAAGAAATGCAGTGTGCGCCGGACCATGGTGACTGCGGTGGATAGTGGCCGTGGCGCCGTGTCCGACATGACTAGCATGGAGTCGTGGACGAGCGACCCCGTCGGCGGCACGACGAGCGACACCGTCAGGAACTAGCTGTGGTGCTCGCGCAAAGACAGTCAACAGAGGAGGAGAATCCAGAGCTCGCGCCATGGTATCGTCAGTGCAGTGGACGAGAGAGGAGGCCGAGATGATCGACGTCGGAAACGACTCCAGTATAGTAGGGCGAGAGAGAGGAGGCCAAGATGATCGACCCCGTCGGCGGCGCGGTGAACTGCAGTGTGCACGGAGGCAGAGGACACAAGAAAGCAGTGTGCACATCGTTGTAGCGTCAGTGTAGTACGACGACAGAGAGTAGGCCGAGATGAGTGACGCCGAAAACGACTCTAGTGTAGTAGGACATAGGCAAGGAGATCAAGGGGAAAGGCTTCGACATCGAGAGGGACGAATAGGAGGGCTCTGAGTAGAGGACAAAGGAGCTCGACATGGCGGCGTCATTGCAGTAGAGTGTTGTTCAAAGAGAGATGAAGCTACGATCATCGAAACCAAAAATTTACAACATGAATGTTATGAGGAACCGCGAGATTAGGCTGCTGGTCAATTTTTTTTTTTCAAATGATCGATCGTGTGCGACGAATCTAACAAAATTCGTCCAGAATAGCTCCAAGCGGGAAGACAAAATTAAGAACTTACGGCCGACGAAACTACGAACCGATCGCCTGAATGGAACCGTAACATAAAGGTACATCTTTTTCGTGTAGAACTTACCTCGAATGAAAGCACCATTGAGATCAAAGGGAGGAGATTAGATAGGAGCTTAATGGAGGTTGAAGAAGACCTCAGGTCACCTCACATCCCTCCCGTCTCCACTTGTGCAAGGGCCTGCTTGTTTGCGCTCGGCTCGGCCTGGTTCACCAGAAACTGCCGATTCAAGCGTTTTCAGCGAGCCAATCTCTAGGCTGTTTTAAGAAGCGTGCAGGCCCAACAGTGAAATCAGACAACTAAACAGACCTCTTGCTTCGTGTGCGGGCCTGGATAGGCTCCATGCGGGCAACCAAACGCGCCCTTAGTGAATATAGTGTGTCCCATTGATCTGATTTAAGCAACTTGGATTAGAACTAACATCCAGTTCTTGAAAGCAACTCCGCCTATGTTGTCTCAACATAGCCGGTCCCAAGCCCGGGTAAAGGAGAAGGGTTGTGATAGGCTTGGCGAGCCAACATAAAAACTCAGCCACTCTTATGGAGATGAAACCCAAAAGATTTTCGTTGGGGCGTAACCCTCTCAGCGACGCGCCACATCGGAACCCAGGTGTGGTGGAAAGTGAGCAAGGGTCGGGCCGTCACCCCCCAAGTGGCGCGCTGTATCTTGATCCGGATACGGTGGCAAGTGAGCGAGGATCGGGTCGTCGCATCCTTAGTGGCGCGCTACATCGGCGCCCGGATGTAGTGGAAAATGAGCAAGGGTCTTCGCATTTGACTCGACGGGTGCGAAGGGTAAGGAAGCTAGCCGAGCCTAGGAGGATTTGCTTAGGTAGCTGGAACGTAGGGTCTCTGACAGGGAAGCTTCGGGAGCTAGTTGATGCAGCGGTGAGGAGAGGTGTTGATATCCTTTGCGTCCAAGAAACTAAATGAAGAGGACAGAAGGCGAAGGAGGTGGAGGATACCGGCTTCAAGCTGTGGTACACGGGGACGGCTGCAAATAGAAATGGCGTAGGCATCTTGATCAACAAGAGCCTCAAGTATGGAGTGGTAGACATCAAGAGACGTGGGGACCGGATTATCTTGGTCAAGCTGGTAGTTGATGACTTGGTTCTCAATGTTATCAGCGCGTATGCCCCGCAAGTAGGCCACAATAAGAACACCAAGAGGGAGTTCTGGGAAGGCCTGGAAGACATGGTTAGGAGTGTACCGATTGGTGAGAAGCTCTTCATAGGAGGAGACCTCAATGGCCATGTGGGTACATCTAACACAAGTTTTGAAGGGACGCATGGGGGCTTTGGCCATGGCATCAGGAATCAAGAAGGAGAAGATGTCTTAAGCTTTGCTCTAGCCTACAACATGATTGTAGCTAACACCCTCTTTAGAAAGAGAGAATCACATCTGGTGACTTTTAGTAGTGGCCAACACTCTAGGCAGATTGATTTCATCCTCTCGAGAAGAGAAGATAGGTGTGCGTGCCTAGACTGTAAGGTGATACCTGGAGAGAGTGTTGTACCCCAGCATAAGCTGGTGGTTGCTCACTTCCGCTTTCGGATTCATGTCCAGCGGGATAAGTGTGCCAAAGTCGCTAGAACGAAGTGGTGGAAACTCAAGGGGGAGGTAGCTCAGGTGTTCAAGGAGAGGGTCATTAAGGAGGGCCCTTAGGAGGAAGGAGGGGATGCGGACAATGTGTGGATGAAGATGGCGACTTGCATTCGTAAGGTGGCCTCGGAGGAGTTTGGAGTGTCGAGGGGAAGGAGAAGCGAAGATAAGGATACCTGGTGGTGGAATGATAACGTCCAGAAGGCGATTAAAGAGAAGAAAGATTGCTTCAGACGCATATACCTGGATAGGAGTGCAGACAACATAGAGAAGTACAAGATGGCGAAGAAGGCCGCAAAGCGAGCTGTTGGTGAAGCAAGGGGTCGGGCATATGAGGACCTCTACCAACGGTTATGCACGAAGGAAGGTGAAAGGGACATCTATAAGATGGCCAAGATCCAAGAGAGGAAGACGAGGGACATTGGCCAAGTCAAATGCATCAAGGACGGAGCAGGCCAACTCTTGGTGAAGGACGAGGAGATTAAACATAGATGGCGGGAGTACTTTGACAAGCTGTTCAATGGGGAGAATGAGAGTTCTACCATTGAACTAGACGACTCCTTTGATGAGACCAGCATGCGTTTTGTGCGGCGAATCCAGGAATCTGAGGTGAAGGAGGCTTTAAAAAGAATGAAAGGAGGCAAGGTGATGGGCCCTGATTGTATCCCCATTGAGGTGTGGAAAGGTCTCAGGGACATAGCAATAGTATGGCTAACCAAGCTTTTCAACCTCATTTTTCGGGCAAACAAGATGCCAGAAGAATGGAGACGGAGTATATTAGTACCAATCTTCAAGAACAAGGGGGATGTTCAAAGTTGTACTAATTATCGTGGAATTAAGCTGATGAGCCATACAATGAAGCTATGGGAGAGAGTCATTGAGCACCGCTTAAGAAGAATGACAAGCGTGACCAAAAATCAGTTTGGTTTCATGCCTGGGAGGTCGACCATGGAAGCCATTTTCTTGGTACGACAACTTATGCAGAGATATAGGGAGCAAAAGAAGGACTTGCATATGGTGTTCATTAACTTGGAGAAGGCCTATGATAAGATACCGCGGAATGTCATGTGGTGGGCCTTGAAGGAACACAAAGTCCCAGCAAAGTACATTACCCTCATCAAGGACATGTACGATAATGTTGTGACAAGTGTTCGAACAAGTGATGTCGACACCGAAGACTTCCCGATTAAGATAGGACTGCATCAGGGGTCAGCTTTGAGCCCTTATCTTTTTGCATTGGTGATGGATAAGGTCACAAGGGATATACAAGGAGATATCCCATGGTGTATGCTCTTTGCGGATGATGTGGTGCTAGTTGACGATAGTCGGACGGGGGTAAATAGGAAGTTAGAGTTATGGAGACAAACCTTGGAATCGAAAGGGTTTAGGCTTAGTAGAACTAAAACCGAGTACATGATGTGCGGTTTCAGTACTACTAGGTGTGAGAAGGAGGAGGTTAGCCTTGATGGCCAGGTGGTACCTCGGAAGGACACCTGTCGGTATTTGGGGTCAATGTTGTAGGAGGATGGGGGTATTGATGAAGATGTGAACCATCGAATTAAAGCCGGATGGATGAAGTGGCGCCAAGCTTCTGGCATTCTCTGTGACAAGAGAGTGCCACAAAAGCTAAAAGGCAAGTTCTACAGGACGGCGGTTCGACCCGCAATGTTGTATGGCGCGGAGTGTTGGCCGACTAAAAGGCGACATGTTCAACAGTTAGGTATAGCGGAGATGTGTATGTTGAGATGGATGTGTGGCCACACGAGAAAAGATCAAGTCCGGAATGATGATATACGAGATAGAGTTGGGGTAGCACCAATTAAGGAGAAGCTTGTCCAACATCGTCTGAGATGGTTTGGGCATATTCAGCGCAGGCCTCCAGAAGCTCCAGTGCATAGCGGACGGTTAACGCGTGCGGAGAATGTCAAGAGAGGGCGGGGTAGACCGAATTTGACGTGGGAGGAGTCTGTTAAGAGAGACCTGAAGGATTGAAGTATCACCAAAGAGCTAGTTATGGACAGGGATGTGTGGAAGCTTGCTATCCATATGTCAGTCATGAGTTGGTTGCGAGATTTTATGGGTTTTATTTCTAGTCTATCCTAATTTGTTTGGGACTAAAGGCTTTGTTGTTGTTGTTGTATCCAGTTCTTGAAAGCAATACCCTTTCTTGCCTACAGGCTACTTCTGCAAAGCTCGAAGAAATTCCGTGACACTACACCAGCAAAACACTACATGAACTCGCTCATCATGGTGAGCACCTGCGCCATCCTGGGCCTCTCCTCCGGCGCCTCGGCGGTGCACAGCACGCCGATCTTCACCATCCCCATCGTCTCCTCCCCTTCTCCCTCGTCCTCGCCGCCGTCCGCGGCGCCCTTGGCGGTCACCACCGCCAGGAGCACCATCCCGAAGCTGTACACGTCCGACTCCTGCGTCGCCCTCGCGCCCGGCGCCGTCAGCTCCGGCGCCGCGTACCCGCGCCATCCGCCGCGGCCCGACACCGCCTCCGACGCCCGGTCCAGGAACAGCTCGGGCGGCTGCGGGCCGGACTGCGGGACGCTGGCGGCGTAGCGCATGAGCCCGCACTCGGAGACGCACGCGGCGCCGCGCTCGTCGAGGAGGATGTTGGACGGCTTCACGTTCCCGTGCACCAGCGCCGGCCGCGCCGGGAACGTGTGGATGTAGTTGAGGCCCTGCGCCGCACCGAACAGGATGCCCTTCTTCGTCGCCCAGTCCAGGCTCCTCGTTCTGCCGCCTCCACCTGTAACAGCCCGTCAGCAAGCACTTCTTGCATCAATGGAGATGTACAGCGCCATTGAAAATTCACGGCTGATTTGCCATTTTTTGAGCGCACATACCGTTGCCTTGCAGAAGGGACTGGAGGCTCCCGTTGGGGAGGTAGTCGTAGACGAGCAGCCGCTCGCCGTTGGAGTTGCAGTAGCCCCTGAGGCTGACGACGTGGCGGTGCCGGAGCCTGCCGACGAGCCGCATGTGGCGGTCGAAGGCCTTGCTCCGGCCGGGGAACTGCAGGGCGCTGAGCCGCTTCACGGCCGCCACGATGCCGTCCTCGAGGACGGCCTTGTACGTGCTCCCGGACACGCCCTTGCCGAGCACCTCCGCCGAGGCCTTGAGCAGGCTCTCCAGCCTCAGCTCCTCGCCGCCGTCGAAGCAGACCAGGGCGCCGCTCTTCTGGCACTTCTCTTCACCACTCCTGATCTTGTCTTCCTCCTCGAAGCAAAGAGACGCACTGGATTTGGAATCGTCGTTAGAGGGCCTCAGCTTTCTTCTCATGTAGATGAACATGGCCACAGAGATGGCCAGCGAGATCGCTATCAGCACTGCATTGCCAATGCCAGTGGCCACGAGTGCGGTCATGCCAAGCTGACTGAATCTTCCATTACTGGAAGAGCTCGGACTGCCACTCGATGTATTTGTTGCTGCAGTAGGAGACTGAGCGACACCAGTGGTAGCATTTGAGGCGCTATCTTCCACTGCATTGTAAGCATGTATACACCTCGGAAGAGGCTTGCTACAGAGATCGACATTGCTGCCGAAAGACGAGCTCGGGAATCCCGACAGGGAGCTGGGGATCTCTCCGACGAGCTCGTTACTCGACACGTTGAACCTTCTGACCATCGGCAGGCGCAGAGCCTGCAAGCCGCCATGGAATCCGTTGTGCTCTGCTCGCAGAGTGACCAGGGAAGGCAGCGAAAGGTTGAGGCCTCCGCTGAGGTTGTTGTGGGAGACGAGCAGGTGCCTCAACCTTGGGCTCGTGGAGTTGTCCAATGGAGGGAGAGGGCCGGACAGGGAGTTCCTCCTGACGGCGAGCACCCTGATCTGGGTGAGCCCGAGGAGGGGAGCCACGCTGCCCACCAGCGATGCGTCGTCCAAGAAGACGCCCGCCACCCTCCCCCTGGAGCACCGGACCCCGAGCCACGCGCCGGAGCATGGGTCGGGGCCGACCCAGGTCTTCAGGACCGTGACATTGTTGGGGTTGTAGGCCTTGAACGAGAGGAGGAAAGGGAGGTCGCGGTGGCCGCCATTGGCGACCTCACCGTGCACAGGCCATGTTGCAAGATGGAAGAGGAGGATCACGAGGGGGGACATGGATAAGCAGTGGCGGAAACGAGGCATTTTGGTGGATGCCCTCTCGACTGATGAAGATTGGACGAGTTTTATAGCAGAAAGAGGAGGTGAATGCTGCGCGGGGAGAGCGGGGATTTTTGAAAAATCTCAATTGTGGAGAGATCTCAACTGTAGAAGCGTGGGGAGGCAACAAGCAGAGCTCCAAAAAGGAAAGCTAGGGAGTAGCGCAGCATGGCGGTCCTCGAGGAGGACAGGGGGAGGGCAACAAGCAGATGAGGCGAAGAGAAAGCAAACAAGGCGCCTTTTTCTCTCTCCCTCGGGCAGAAGGAATTTGGACGTTTCCGGGGAGGAGGCCGATGCGTGGCTCGGTGCGTCCCGTGAGCCGCCATGGACATGGTCGCCGTGCGCGTACATGCATGCTCCGCTTTGTTGAGATGATCGAAAAGTGAGGGAGAGGGGCTCTTGGTTCCATGGCGCGATGCAGTGTGGTGCGTGGGAATCTTGCTGGTGGCTTCAGGTGCCACAGTAGCCAATAGTCAAGATTCCTTCGTGTGTCGTCTGTTCGACTTTTTCTGTTTTGGTCGTGAGAGCTGGGCCCACAAAATTTCCACTTAACGCAGGTCAGTAGTGCGCACTAACCAGGGCAGCGATAATCATCTCTCAAACTTACCTAAAAAATCTCGCAAAAAAACTTACCTGAACTTCCTAACTAAACCTCCCCATGATTTTTACGGGGTGAGCCCCTTCCTCCCCCTATCTCTCCAATCACAGCTCTTCACGTTTCCTTTTACGTAAAACTTGTAAGTTTTTTTTTTGAGGATAAAAAGTTGTAAGTAATCTTACGTAAGTCTAGCATTACTCCGAAGGCAGCCCAGCATTGACGCAGTCACTATGACACAGCAAGCATCAGTTCAGCGACGACCGTTGGATGGAAACCCAAGGGCTGCCACTTCGGGTTCTTTCTCCCCACGCCACCTCACCGGTCTGACCTCCCCAAGTCGGCTCTTCCGCTGGTCCACCATGTCGTGGGTATCCCTCAAAACATGGGCCTTCTTCAGCGTCGCCCCCCCTTCCCTGGTCGTTCCCCACATCCACACTCGTCAATTATCTGCCTCACTCTTGTCGACGCCGCTGCCGGCCGTGGGTTCCCTTTCTCCCGCTCGTCCCCATCGGGGACACCGCGAGTCGGCCATACCACCACTGCCTCGACCTTGTTGCTCTGCATCTTCTCTAGGATTTGACTAAAGCTACACAAAATAAATAAGGAGGACCAATAATGGCAAACTTCTTTTGAAAGAAATGGTTCGGCCCAACCCATTTTCATTGAAAACAAGGCCACATAAACCGTTCACAACGTTCAGGAACAATCAGAGTATCTACACCAATCAAAGTACCGTAGATTTTCGTACATGCCAAACAAACTAACATAACAACACTATAGACTACAACACACTCAAGACAGATGATCACTCAATGTCTCAAACTAGTTCATGTTTGCTCGTAGGAATTGCCGGCGGTGCTCATTTGTTCTATCCATGGGCAAGATCATCTCCAGGCTATTCATAGTAGTTCTTCCCGGAATGTTCTAGCAGTAAGAGGCATTGTATCACTTGACAGATTGTGAGCTGCCGCACATGATATTCCACCAATGAAGTGAAGATATTATTTTTCATAAGACACATCTGACATCCTTCCAAAAATTTCCTTGAAAACAGGCATCATTGCGCACAGTAGAGAGGCTTTACATAGTAGCACTGGTAAGCGTGTTATACACACCATCTGTTTAATCTGGAAATCCATTTACGGTAAATAGCAAGCATCCACATATGCATGTGATGCACATTGGAACAATTCAGAAATATAAGTCCAAATAGCTATAGCCACAATACAATCAAAGAAAAGTTGTTGAGTAGTCTCCCACCATCACAAAACATGTACGTAGATAATATCATCAACGAACATGTCTTCATTTCAGAAGGTTGTCCCTGGTGAGGATTCTATTGTTAACCACAAGCCAAAGGAACACATGAAATATGAGGGCAAGGGTTAATAATTTTCCATAAATATTACCCAAAAGCACCAAAATTGATAATATGATGGAGATATTTAGAAGAGTATAGGCCAGAAGGCTCATAACTCCTGGGTTTATCCAAACCCTCCGTTACTTGAAACATTGTATCAAAAGTAGGAGTTCATTCCACATGGACATTAACTAATAGTTAACACATCTCTAAAAACTAAGATCAAGATAGAACCATCTAACTTGAGCAACCAGACAATTTTTTTATTGACAAATGTCAAATTATTCTCAAAAGTTTTTCGAGTGAGATCTTCCACCCAAGTATCATGCTGAAATTTGGCATTCTTACCATCCATCACCTCCATCTATAAAAGGGTCTAGAGGCTGACATGGCCCAAGTCAAGCCCTTCCGAAAGGGAGAGCCAATATTGCTTTGGGTTGCGAGTATTATATAAATAGTCTAGCAGGATTTGCCAACTTCTATTCCCTCCCACAAAATATCATCCCGAGAAGCTAGCAAGGTCATGTTGAAGTCACGAATATCCGAGACTCCAATAATACCAAACAACCTTTTCTGGATAGATAAGCCCCGAATAGCAAGTTGGTTTCTACGAAAAAAGAATAACAAGTTGGTACTTGTGTGAATCACCGAGATGGGCCCAAAAGAAATGGGATATTTGAGAGTTGATGTCATGCATGACCAACTTGGAGAATTTTATTTCGGATGTCATATGCAGAGGTATACTAGAAACACAAGTTTTGAGAAGCACATGCTTCCCCTGGCAGGAAAGTTAATCCCCACCATCCAGTCACAATATTAATAATCTTATCTACCACGTGTTGTATATCATTTTTTGTTAGTTTAGAATAGGAACACCCAAAATACTTTAAGGGAAATAGTTAATTTTACAGCAGAAGACCCGAGCAAAGAACTTAGCAGGCTCATCATCCAAGTTACTAGTAAGCATGTCACTTTCATGGAAACTTAATCTTCATTCCATATAGCGATTCAAAATAAGAGATAAGCCATGATAACCCACAAGTATAGGGGATCGCAACAGTTTTCGAGGGTAAAGTATTCAACCCAAATTTATTGATTCGACACAAGGGGAGCCAAAGAATACTATCAAGTATTAGCAGCTGAGTTGTCAATTCAACCACACCTGAAAACTTAATATCTGCAGCAAAGTATTTAGTAGCAAAGTAATATGATAGTAGTGATAGTAGCTACAAGACTTCAGTACGATGGGAGAGGCAAGGAATTCCAGTCCTTCGATTTCAACGGGGACGTCGTTGCAAATCATGGAGGTCCGACATTGGCCCACGAGAGTATGTACTAATAGCAAAGTGTTTAGGTCCTCGCTTTTAATGCCATGCATGAATGCAAAATCCTTTGACATGAATGAATGTGATGCACCTGTATCAAATAAAACAGATGCTGGTGCTGAATTTACGAGGAGTGTACCCATCACGATAGCGGGCTGGTCTAGAACTTCATTGAGATCAACGTGGTTGGCATGGACACGACCATAAGACTTGGCATTGTTGTTGCGGGGCTGGTTGCTTCCACGGCCAGTTGCTGGGAGGGCCAGTTGATTTTGGTTCTGATTGCAATCCCTAGCACGGTGACCTGGTTGACCACACTTGTAGCACAGACCATTATTGGGAGTGGGAACAGGAGCTTGTGGTGGTGGAGCTGGAAGTCTTGGCTGCCTAGTTGGAGGAGCAGGCAGAGGAGGTGCATCATAGGTCTGCCTTGGGGCAGGTGCATTCGGCTGGTACATGCTGTTGGGAATCCATATCTTGCGCTTCTGCGAGGACGGGCCCAAAGATGAGCCTGTGTCACGGTTGCGCCCGTGAGAGCTCTGGTATTCCTGCAGACCAGTTTCGACATTGATGGCCTTGTTCACCAGGGTAGTGAAATCAGCAAAGTCATGCACTAGAAGTGCAAGCTTGATGTCAGCTTGAAGGCCATCACGGAACTTCTCCTGTCTGCATGCATCAGTTGCAATGTCCTCTTCAGCATAGAGGGACAAGTCAAGAAACTCCCGCTGATAAGCTTCAACAGTCTTGTTGCCTTGGGTGAGGTTGCGAAACTCGCGCTTCTTACGGTCCATGACTCCCTGAGGAATGAAGAGAGCACGGAAGGCAGCTTGGAAGTCTGGCCAGGTGATGATTGTTCCAACTGGCAGAGTACGCCTATGGCTGTCCCACCATTGAGCTGCGGGTCCCTTCAGGAAGAAGGAAGCAAAGGTGACATAGCTGGCAGGGGCTACATCAGCAGACTCCATCTCATAGGTGATGTCACGGAGCCAGTCATCAGCATCCAGAGGCTGAGTTGAGCTGCGGTACACAGTTGGGTTCAGGCGCATGAAATCCTGCAGAGTTACTGGGGTTGGCTGCTGGTTCATATTGGGGCGAGGAAACTGAGCCATCATATTCTCTATGAACTGACGATTCATCTCAAGCTGTCGGATCATACCAGCCATGTACTCAGGCGGTGGTGGGAGGTTGCCACCACGTCCACGACCACCTGGTCTAACCATCCTGCTAATATATAACAGGGGTAGTTCAGCATCGAGAAATTTTTAAAGACAAGAATCATTCATGATGAAACATGCACAATGAAAGCAGCACGATAGATACTACATAGTAGTCGTCATATCTTACAAAAGAGATCATGCATAAAGTTCGATACACAGAGTTCAGTACATAGATTAATACATCATAGGCGGCACGCAGGCTCGCGACGAATGCATCTAACACTAACAAGCAAGCCTACATCAGTCCCAAAAGGAACTGTGGAGGTAGGTGTAGCCTGACAGCTGGTAGTGACGCGAAGGGAAGACCTCCACGCGAGTAGCCCGGGGTCCGTGGATACTCTGGTGCGGAACCCGATGCGTAGGTGGCAGGAGAGGACCAAGTGCAGGAGAGTAGCCTCCCACATCTGGCCAGCCGACGCCCTGGGGCATCACGGTCCTGGCAGGGTAGATGGCAGAACGCGACAGATCACCAGAGCGGACAGAGG